GGGCCAGTTCTGGCCCATGGGATGCTAAGATCTGGCCCGTGTGGCTGCTCTGGAAATAGTGAAGGACCGGCCCATGGTGCCTCTGCCCATGAAAACAGAACTCATGAGGGCTGTGCATGGCCCTCCCAAGCTCTGTTTTAGTTGGCAGAGGGTTGTAGGAAACTGTCACAGCTGAAAATGGAGCTTACAAGGGCCGTGCATAAGCCCCCCGAGCTCTGTTTAAACTGGCAGAGGGTTGTAGGAGGATGTCATAGCTGAAAATGGGGCTCAGGAGCCCGTTTTTGCTGGCAGAGTGCTTGGGCCACCACAGGCGCCCCCTGACACAAGTGATGTCATGCTACTGGCCACACCCACCCCAGCCAAGGTCAAACACAACCCTGATGCAGCCCTCAATGAAATCGAGTTTGATATCCCTTCCTAGGAGCAAAATTCTACCTAACAGAAGTTTGAAATATTGGTTTTCATTTTTCTATATTGACAAGACCTTTTCCATTATTGTATAGATAAATGTCATTTTATTGTGTATCACTCCTTATTGCTGTTTTTCTTTGGGATGCTTTTGGGATCCTTTTAGAGGAAGAGCGTGTCCATGCTGAAAAGCTTCTTGTAAGGATTGGAAATACTTTCTGTAATTGCAAGTGGGTAGGAATAACTGAACACTGAGAAAAGACACCTTGCATCGATGGAAGAGGACAAGGAAGGCTCCACTGTGTGAACCAATTTCATGTTTGTGCACATTTGAAGACATTTTAATATTCCTGACATAGCATTTTCCTTTTTTTAAAAAATAAAGTAAACAAATGCTATTTTAATAACAATAAAAAATCTGATTATTAAAAGGCACAAAACCCTAATATCAGAAGCTTTCTGTTTTCTGCAGCTTCATCTCTGTCTCTTTCCCTTTATGCTACCAGCTTGTGAGGCTGGGAGAAGAGTGAAGGTCTCTAGCCAAGCTGGTTCGCTCTCTTTTATTTGAGAGTCAGTCAGTTGTGTTCTTTTAGAGATCCACATTTTCTAAAGTTATTTCTATTATTAATATAACAATACAATCTTATGTACCTTTACAGAATCCCTTTTTCAGTTAGATTTTCACCCATTATCCCTAAATAGGTCCTGTTTCTCTATATCTTGCTCTGGTCCTTTGTAACTTCTTTTCCTTTCCTTCTTCCCTCTCTTCTTCTCTCTCCCCCTTTTACCCCCTTGTCTCTCTACCTCTATTTCTCTCTTCTGTATTCCCCTTTTCTGTTGCTTTCCAGTATTATACTTATTTTTTGAATTATTTTTCTTTTCTTTGGTTGTTTTTTTAAGTCTTAAATTCTCCATTCTCTTCCCCCCCCTTTCCTTTTTCTTCCCCACATAAAATTACTTGTTCATTAAAGATGGCTTCTTCTTTGTCCCAGTCTTCTTGTTTTGCAGTCTTTTCTTGTTGTTTCTCATAGTTCCAAATCTCCATTTCTAAGAATTGAAAAACAAAGCCAAAAGAACCCTTCCCTTCTTGTTCATCTTCTTTGTACTTTTTAAGTTCCATTTTCAATTCATCCAGAAGTGGTGCCATTGTATAAATTTTTAAACAACCACCCGATTGATTTTAGTCATTCAAATATAATAACCAAAAATCCAAAGATCACCAAATAATCCAAATACATGCAAGCTGTTTCTTTTTTGCTCTTTTTTTCACTTTTTCTTCCTGGGGTTACTATTTAGTTGCAAAGTTTCAGTTAAAAATGTATCTTTTAGAAGTCTTGTTGAAGTTTTACTTTAGATTCTTTTTAATTCCAGGCAATCTCCTCCCTCTTCCAGTTCCTGCCCTTATTCTTTTTCTCTCCCTTCCTGCTTATGAAAAAGAAAAATTTTAATGTCCAGAAATCTTTATTATCCCTTTGGCATTTTGTTTTATTTTCAGCTTAATTGCCTATTGATGTCAAAGCGGATTTTTCTGATTTCTTATTTAAGTCTCTTAGTTGTCAGTATAGGGAAGGAGAGAGAAGGGAAAAAAAGCCAAACCTTTCCCTTTTCACTTTCCTTCGCTGCTTCCAACTCTTCTTTGGGAGCGATGTTATTTTTTGTAAGTTTAAATTCTAGGGTACCTTGGTTGTTGCTTTTACAATTTAACCCAGTCAGCCAAAACTTTCACTTCTTATCTTCCTCCTGCACATTCTTTTCCAGTCGAGTTCTTCTTTGTGGTGGCCATTTCTGACCACCGCTGCAACCGCCTTCGGGAAAGGGAGTAATGGCCAGCTGAGGAGGAGAGATGCAGCTCTCCTCGACCCTGCTGGCGGTCTCCCCCCTCTTCACCACCTCTATGGGGTGGCTTAGCTGCTCCAGCGGCGAGCCCAGACAGAAACCGTGCATGATCGTGGATTTCTGTCTGTCGCCAAAACCCTTCAAACCGGAAGTCCCCCTATGATAAATTTTGAGGTATTCTGCCCAGGGTTTTCCATATTTATTTAAAAGCCATTGAAACGAGAAAAGATCATAAATCTGAAGTAATCAACTTTTGAAAATCCTTCCAGTAAGCTGCTTGGTTTTCACATAAATTCTACTATCTAACATCTATCTATCTATCTATCAACTATCTATCTATCTATCATCTATCTATCTATCCAGGGGTGGGATACGACAGGGTTAACTACCGGTTTGGGATTTACAAGGTTTGGTGATTTATGATGTGCTTCCCTGCACGCTGTGAGTCGTGCACCTGTAAATTGTCATCAGCACACTGCGTGCTGAGAAGCAGTCTTTGAAACAGCCCTCTTTTCTTGCTTTTTTAACTGCAGCTGTGCCTCATTCGGCAGCTGAAGTTGAAAAATCAGGAAATAAAGATCAGGTAAGAGCCCAGGTGGGTGGGTGGGCAAAACCATCAGCAGACATAGAACCAGTTCTAATGTCTGCTGCTCTACAGAGCTACCGGTTCTACAGAGGTGGACAGAACCAGTAGAAATCTATCTATCTATCTATCTATCTATCTATCTATCTATCTATCTATCTATC